GGGGATGGGGGATGGGGACTGGGGATGCCGACCTGGTCAGTGTTTTTCGGAGCCCTCCAGTATGTGCTGTGTGGAGAGCCAGCACTTGGCTGGGCTGTGTGGGGTGTACTGGGTCATACACAGAGGTGAAGGAGCTGGGCGGGGGGTGTGTGATGGAAGAGGGGCAGTTTGGGATCACAAAGTGAGAGTGGGATCTTCAGAGACACTGACTTTCCACTGGCCTAAACTGTCACGGAGGCAGTGTGGTAGGGAAGGATTGAAGACTATGCTATGGGACATGAGGGCATGAAATAAAGTAATTGCGCAGCAGATTCAAAACAAACTCAAGGGAGTGGTTCTACCCAGTGGGTGTGGAAATATCATTCTAGGCTTGTCCTATCCTTTCCTCTTCTCTGGTTTCTTCTGGCTGTCTGAGATAAGGACAGGTGCAAGGGCTCTGCTAAATGCTAGGCCCTTGCTGCAGTGCAGCCACAAGGGCTCTGTCCCACCCCAGGTCCCAGCAAGTTTGATGAGATGTGTATGACGATACCCCAGCGTCTCCCTCTTCAATTTACTGCCCTGCTCTGTCATGGTCCCTAGGGAATGATGGGGATGCAGCTGGGCAAGTGCCTGATCTCACCATCCTGCTCTTCCCTCCAGGTGGTGGTGGTGACTGACTATGCAGAGGGAGAGCTCTTCCAGATCTTGGAGGACGATGGGAGTTTGCCCGAGGACCAGGTGACTGTCTTGATGGTGGCCATGCAGTATTTGCTGTGGGATGGAGAGAACAGGGTTTGTCTGCTTGCAGGCAGCCAGTCTCTGCTGTGGGCCAGGGGACATCAGGAGGGTAAGGGTGCCTCTGAGGCTTTAGCTGGCAGAGCTTCTGAAGGGGATGGAAAGCAGTAGCTCCCCCCCGCCCCCCGCCACTGGGGGACAATTTCCCTGTTCTCTCTCCAAGAACAACACCATCAGGTTGCTGCCTTGGCCATCAGCCTACTCTGAGGAACTGCTGGCCCATGGCTGGGGGTGGTCCCTGCCCCATACAGGGCAAGGGCAGGAGTAGGGGCACTGGGGGAGCCAGGTGTAAGGGACCCCATGATTGTGCCAGCCAGTGGCACCATGGGATGCAGATTGAGGCTTCTGTGTCTCTGTCAGGTCCAGACCATAGCTGCCCAACTGGTCTCTGCTCTCTATTACCTGCACTCCCACCGCATCCTGCACCGTGACATGAAACCTCAGAACATCCTGCTGGGCAAAGATGGCATCGTCAAGCTCTGTGACTTCGGGTGGGTGCTGGGGCCAGCTTGAGGGGGACACTTGGGCTTGGAGCAGCCAAGGGCTGTCCTGGGTGGTGTAGAGGAGGAGAGGGGAGTGTGGAAGGGGACCTGGATTCTGTACGTACTTAGAGGTTGAGTAGGGATGGGGGATTTTGGATTCGTAAGCTCGTAGGGATCTCCCTGGGAGCTGCAATGGTGGTTTCAGTCTGAATTGGCCATCTGTACTTTGCTCTGAGCAGGTTTGCCCGTGCCATGAGCATCCACACCATGGTGCTGACCTCCATCAAGGGCACCCCGCTGTACATGTCTCCTGAGCTGGTGGAGGAGAGGCCGTACGACCACACGGCAGACCTGTGGTCTGTGGGCTGCATCCTGTATGAGCTGTTTGTGGGCACTCCTCCCTTCTACACCAGCAGCATCTTCCAGCTTGTCAGCCTCATCGTCAAGGACCCCGTCAAATGGCCTGAGGCCATAAGCCCAGTCTTCAAGGTAAGGGCGAAGACCCTGTCTATGAGGTGAGATCCGTTAATGTGGCAGCAGCTTTGGCCTCGTCTGCTGTCCTGGTGAGTCACTCTTAGGTTTTTTGTCCCATAACAGGGATTTCAGAACATAGAGAAGGGATGAGAGCTTGGCCTCCTGGGAGGGGGACCGTTATTGCTGCTGTCTCTCTATAAGCTGGGAGATGAGCTGACAGCAGAGGAATGATTTACTGGGCTGGGAAAGGAAGTGTCTTCCTGTCTGCCCTAAGCACTAGAGCCGCTCCTTCCCCAGAGCCAGGCAGGGCGCGTAGGCCTCCTGGATGCCCTGACTGGGGAGACTGGTGGGTACACTGTGCTCACTGGTGGATGCCGAACATGTGTCAGTGACCCTGGTGTTGTGCTGCCCTGTAGAGCTTCCTGCAGGGACTACTAATGAAGGACCCCCACCAGCGTCTGTCATGGCCCGAGCTGCTCTCTCACCCCTTCATTGCTGGACGGGTTACTGGTGAGTACCAGCTCTTTTTCCAGTGCTGGCCAGGTCCATTTCTTCCTCCTGCTGCCTGAAGGCTGGGAGGACCACCCTGCCCTGCTTTTTTACTGCTCTGTTCTTTGCCTCCCTCCTCTCAGCTTCTTCAAGTGCTGACTCTCAGCTCCTGCCCCTGGGCTTGCTCCGGGTTCCCCAGGATTCCTCTGGGACCCCAGAGCCGGTTAGTCTTTCTGTGTCCAAGGGAGAGCTACTGATGAAGTTCTCTCCTCACCTCCCCAGTGATTGATGACACAGAAGAGCATGGGATCTCAAATCCTTTCACCACCAAGCTGTCCCCAGAGCTGCAGGCCCTAAAGGAGCAACAAGCCCATTCCCTGGCCCCCAGGAGCGGCCAGGCCAGGATCCTGAGAAAGGCCCGTCAGAAGATGGCTGAGGAGGCACAGAAAAAGGTGGAGGAAAGTGTGGGATTCTCCTGGCTGTGTCCCACAGTCAGGACAAAGGAGGGGTACTGAAATGGGACCTGGGGAGAAAGACAGAAGGTACATGGGTAAGGCCGGGGTGTCAGCCACATACAAGGCAGGATGTGGGGTCCTCGGGGTGGTGGGGTCCAGGGAGCTCATCTGACTTCCTGAGTAACCCTGCCGTGATCAAACTTCTCTGCCATCACCCAGGGGCAACTGAAGGCAGCTGACACATCTGTGAAGGACTCTGGCAAAGGATGCCCAGGGCATAGACCCAGAGCAGCTCCTGGGAAGGCAGCCCACATGGAGGGGGAACCACCAGCTGCCTCCAAAGAGAAGAACCCCAGTGTCCTGCAAGGAAAGAGCAGCATGGCAGAGTGGGAGTTGGAGGAGCCTCCACCCAGCCCACGGTGAGGAAGAGCTGGAGCTAGGAGAGGAGGAACAGGGGAAGGTGGGGTCGCTTGCTGACCGTGCTGTTTCCTTGGCCAGGGAGCACAGCATCACTCAAGACTATGAGAAGGAGTTTCCTGGAGCAGGGGTCCTTCCACAGACTGGTGCTGGCAGGACAGAGCCCCGGGACAGGTGCAGCATCGAGACCATGGACCTGGAGAGTGAAGTAAGATGGTGTCTTGTGGTGAGGACAGCAGGGCCCAGTCCCCTGGGACTGGTAGAGAGACCCTGGGGCAGGCAGGGTCTGTGGCATCAGCCCTATCTCCTCTGTGACTAGGAGCTGGAGAGTGATGAGGAGTGGCAGCACCTGATTGAGGCCACAGAGCCCTTGGCCATGCAGCTGAGCACACCGCTGAGCCTCCTGAGGGACCTGGCCTTCCGGCACCATGTCCAGGCCCGCTTGGCAGACTCTACTCAGCAGGTGAGGGCTGGCTCAGACAACTAGGACTGGGGACATGGATGCTGCCTTCTTCCTCAAGATTGTATTGGGTGCATTGGAGGAGTCTTCAGTCCAGCCAGCAAGATCCTCTGCTTCTCCAGGAGCCAGAGCTGTCTCATGCACTTAGCTTGCCATCTGCTCCCCTGCTGTCCCCTGGCTGAGGGGTGGAGGGCTGCTCTGTGGCTGATGGAGAGGCCACAACTGCTGCTGATCATGAGCACCTCTGGTTTCTCTGTGTCCAGGTGCTAGAAGGGATGCTGGAGGGAGCCTCCCGCCTCCGTCCTGTGCTCCGCGTCGTGGGCAACCTCCTGGCTACTCGGTGTGACTCTGAGCTGCTGTACCACTTCTGCCAAGAGCTAAATGTGCCTCTGTCCCTGCTGTTTGTAGCCAAGCAGATCCTGGAGAGTGGTAGAACCAAGCAGGTGGGTGTAGGATCCCAGGGAAATTTGGGCTCCTTCCAGCCCTGCAGAGTGCTGGTGCTGAGGAGGCCCTGGTGTCCTGCTGGAGCTGGCTCACAGGACCGGTGCCTCTTGGCATCTGCCCCCTGGCAGGGAAGGATCCTGCTGCGGTGGTGTAGGGATGGCCAGCAGACAATCCCCACTTGCTGTTTCTTTCTGGATCCTGCAGCAGCCCTGGTGTATCCCAGTGCTGACAGACCTCCTCATGGTGACCACAGTTTATTTCAGCAGTGAATGCAACCTGGAAGAGAGTGGGCAAAAGGACAGGTAGGGACAACCCTCAGTGCTCTGAGGTTTCTTGTGGCCACTGTGTGGACCTGGCAGTAGGCAGGAGGTGGTGTTCGTACTCTGTGACTGGAGCTGTCTCCATGGGGAAGCATCATGGACTAAGTGCTTCATGCCATATCACTGTGCTCAGAGAGGAGCACTTTCCATGAGTGGGACTAATTAAGGGGAAGGCACAGCCGACTAGAGTCCAGTTGTGCTGCCTACTGGCAGTGGCTCACAGTTGTGCTGCCTGCTCCATTAGCTACGGCCATATGGGCCTGGTCAGACCCTGCCCTCACAGCCAGGGCCTGTGTCTCTCTTCTCCCCTCTGCTCCCACTGCCTCCCCCAGCCTGCAGACCTTCCAGGAGAGTGCTGGCTGCTTCCTAGCTCTGCTGCCAGAGCTGCTGGCTGAGCCGGCCGACAGCGAGATGAGACTCTGCCAGCAAAGCCTCCTGGTAAGGGTGCCCCTGTCTCCCTTTTCCCCACCCTCTTCCCCAGGGACAGAAGCTGTGGGGCTGGGTGTGCATGTCAGGGGGAGCACAGGCTGAGGACCCTGCTCCCAGCTGCGGGGTTTGTTTGGGGGATCACAAGCAGAAACAAGCTCTCTGAGGAGGCGCCTTCCCCGTCTGTGCCTCTGTGTGTACCCATTTCTTAGCCAGAGTTACTGGGTCTCACACAGTAAACTGGCTGGAGAGGACACTTTGAGGTCCCTGAAGCTCCAGCACGAGTCCTTCTCCCATCTCTGCTGTCCCCTCACAGCCTCCTCCCCCATCAGCCTTCTCTCTTGTCCCATCCTTGATCTGTTGTGATGGCGCCCTCTGTGTCTCCCCAGTGCTTCACCCTGCTCTGTGAGAGACTGGATGCGACGTTCCCTTCCGTCTCTGCCCCCTTCTATGCCAGCCTGCGAGAGGAGCATCAGCCCCTGCTAAACAAACTCCTCCAGGGATCCATCTCGGAGCCTGCTTTGCAAGGTAGCGGTGGTGGCAGCTCACCACTTTCCTGGGGTTTCCCCTCTCCCTCCTGCCCTTGGGTTCCCTCAGAGTACTGACTGCCATTGCAGTGCTGTTGGCTGGAGGAGGTGGCTGAAGCTTATCTGCCCAAATACCTGCTAAACAGGGCTTTCCTGTTCTCTCCCTCAATCCCAGATCTCACCCTCCTTGTGTCACAAGCCTGGCTTTTCCTCTCTTGGCCTCCAGCACTATCCTGCTGTCCCTCGGTGTCCCTCATCCTTACCACATGTCTCCTGATCTCTGTCCTTGTGCAGGTGCAGTGATGGAGGCCAAATCAGCCCATTACCAGAGCCTACGTGTGGCAGACCTCTTCATGGCTGCATTGGCTGCTGCCTGCAGCATCCCCCTGGAGAGGAATGGCTGTTGGGAAGCCAAGCAGCAGGTCAGGCCAGCTCTCTTTGCAGGGCGAGGAGGTGTGGTCCCCACAGGGACCCTTTGCAGGAGGGAGGGTCTCTTTTTCAGCAGTAGAGTGGAGCTCTGTGGTCCTCTGGCTTTGGTGGCTGCAGGGCTGGTGTTTGCAGGCTGCTCCTTCCCAGCCAACAGCTGAGCTTCGGGAGTCTAAGGACTCCTATGTCAATTAAGAGGCTCCCACTTAGGGTCTGAATTGTGGGATGGGCTAAGTAAAGAACTAGGCAATGAAGAGAAAACATGAAGAATTCTTATATGGCAGTGATATGAACTGTAGGAAATCTGAAGTTAAATGGACAATAAATAAGGGGGAAAGCAAAACCACAGATTTACATTTGAACCTTTAACTGAACTCTGAGTCAACAAAGAGGGAAGCAGAGGAGGAATCTCACCTTGCCTATCTCAGCTGTGGGACTGCATCAAAGCCATGCTGGGTCATGGCAGATGGGCATCCCTTTGTGAATGCAGGCAACATGGAGGAAGCAGATGCCTTCTTTTCTTGATTTGTTGCTACCATTAAACTCCTTAAGTCTGTGCAGTGCTTCAGGTGCCAAGGGTGCAAAACAGGCTGATTTCTGCAGGTTGCTCAGGAGGTAGCCGAAAAACTTATGGAGGCAGAGCGCCAGCAACTCGGGAGGCTGCTGGGAAGACTGGAGCACCCAAGCTGCTCCTTGAACGCGCTTAAGGTAATGGCCCCATCCATTTATCTGGCTGTCTCCAGAGATGCCTGGACCTTTGGTCTGGGGTTAGGAGTGTGGGGAAGGGGGAACCATGGGCTCAGCCCTCAATGACTCTCATCTCCCTGGTGTCAGTTGTTGAATAAATGGGATGTGACTGGGATGGGCCTGGTCACTGCGTCCCTGTCCCCAGGGGCTGATATGTGTCTCTCCCCTTTGCCTCACAGATCCTCTATGCTGGCTGCCATGCCAGTCTGAGCCTGTGCCAGCACCTGGGAAGGAACCAGCAACTTTGGAGTTCTCTCATGCAGCTCTCAAAGGGCAAAGTAGGCCTGACCACAGCCCTGGTGGGGTAGGAGGGTGGGCAAGCAGGACACATTCCTCTGAGCATTGCTTAGACCAGGTTGGGGGATGTGTGGGGAGAAGAGTTTGGGGGAGCTTAGTCTGGAGAGTGCAGTTCTCCTTTGGGCCCCAGAAATGTCCCTTTCTCCCCTCCCAGCCTTTCTGTCCCCCTGTGACTCCTTCTGTCTTGGCAGGTGCCCATGGTGGAGGTGGCCCAGGGGGCAGCCTGCGAGGCCTCACTGTACCTGCTAGCCCTGCTTACCCTGCAGCTCCAGGCCTCTCCTCCCAGGTAAGCACCAGCTTTCACTCATGGGTGGGAGAGGAACATGCCCTGCCCTGAACAGCCCTCTGCCCTGCACCCTGCCCAGAGCGGCGCTTCTGCTCCCACTGAGTTGGCAGGGCTCATAGACAGAGCTTTAAACTAGGTATGAAAGGGGGTGGGGGTGAAATCAGGATCACTGGAAGGGAGCTGGAATGCAGTATGCCAGTGCTTGTGGGGGAGGAATGCACTAGCATGATCGTGCAGTCTTGTGAATTAGCAAGGGATCAAGGTGTCATGCCGGGTTGCGGACGGAGCACAGGGGTTGTTGAAGGGTTGGTTACTGTGGAAACATCTGAGCATCATCAGGGGGCTCCAGGTACCTCATCAGGGACCCAACTCAAATGCCTCTATATGAATGTCCACAGCTTGGGCAATAAACAAGAAGAGCTGGAGATGCTTGTGAGCCTGCAGTGCTATGACCTGATCGGCATCACAGAGGCATGGTGGAATGACACCTGCAATTGGTGTGTTGGACTAGAGGGGTATGAACTGCTCAGGAAGGACAGGCAGGGGAGACGAGGAGGGGGTGTTGCCCTCTATGTTAATGAACAGCTAGAATGCATGGAGCTCCACCTGCCAAGTGATGACGAAAGAACCGAGTGCCTGTGGGCCAGGATGAAAGGAAGAGTAGGAGACTTTACAGTGGGAGTGTGCTACAGACCACCCAATCAGGAGGACCAAGTGGATGAGGCCCTACTGGTTTTCCTTTTCTTCATATGAGGAAAGTTTTATTTGTCAGCTCATTTTTAAATACTTTTCGATGGAGTACAATGTACTTCATTTGAGAAGAGATTACTTAAGATATCTTTCTAGATGTACCTTTGTAGATTTTTAAGTAGCGTTGCACAGACTATTTGCTTTCCCCCCATTGTTTTCACTGTCCTTGATACTCTATCAGTTTTCTGATCTTGTACTAACTTAATGATAATTGATTATTGCACTGGTGTTATTCTTTCAGCATTGAAACAGGCAACATAGTTTTAATTTTTTGGAAAAGTGGATGTTCAGATATTTCAAAGATAATATTTTTCAGCACTGATCTGACAAGGAAGTGCAGTGAACTATTTATGGGATAAAGCCCTGGAGGGACTGGGAGCCCAAGATTGCTGGTTGATTTTCAAGGATCATCTCCTCCAAGTTCAAAGGCATTGCATCCCGAAAAGGAAGAAATCGGGCAAAACCACCAGGAGACCTATATGGATAAACAAAGAACTCCTGGCTAAAATCAAATATAAAAGAGGAATATACAAAGCATGGAAGCAGGGACTGGTAAC